CCCCATCCTCGCTTCTAAGAAGCACCCTGGCTAGACTTCTTCCAGTAGAGATTAGTTTGTTCTTCTAGCATTCCATGGTACTTTCAATATTCTTCACCAATACCATAATTTAAATATATCAAATCTTCTATGGTCTTCCTTATTCATTGTCCAACTTTCACACATATATCAGATGATTGAAAATACAATGGTTTGTGTCAGGTGCTCCTTAGTCCTCAAACTGACATCTTTGCTCTTGAACACTTTAAAGATATCTTGTACAGCAGATTTGCCTAATGTAGTATGTTGTTCGATTTCTTAACTGCTGCTTCCATGAGTGCTGATTATGGATCCAAGCAAAATTAAGTCTTTGGAAAATTCATTCTTTTCTCTTTTTACCATGATGCTGTTTATTGATCCAGTTGTGAGGATTTTGTTTTCTTTACATTGAGGTGTAATCCATACTGAAGTCTGTAGTCTTGGATTTTCATCATTATTTAACATAATCGTTGCTTCCAGCAAGCAAGCATATTTCGGGTAGTTAATGAACCTTCCTCTGATCCTAAAACCACGTTCTTCATGTAATTCAGCTTCTCATATTTTTTGCTCAGCATCCTGATAAAAGGATACACACCTGACATACACCTTTCCTGATTGATTTTAAACTATTCAGTATCCTCTTGTTCTGACTGAATAACTGCCTCTTGGTTGAGGTACAGATTCCTCATGAGCACAATTAAGTGTTTTAGAATTCCCTTTCTTTGCAATGTTTTCCATAGTTTGTTATGATCCATAGTCAAGTGCCTTTATGTAGTCAATAAAATGCAAGTATGCATCTTTCTGGTGTTGTCTACTTTCAGACAGGATCCGTCTGGCTTCAGCAATGCTATGCCTATTTCCACGTTCTCTTCTGAATCCACCTTAAATTTCGGGCAGCTCCCTGTGCTGCTTCAACCATTTTAAAATTATCTTCAGCAAAATTTCACTTGCACATAATATTAATGATACTGTTCAATGATTTCCACATTCCATTACTTTTGCTACAAACCATGTAAACATGGTCACCTTTTTTGTAAATCAGCACAGATATGGATCTCTTCCCATCAGTTGACCAAATTTCTGCCAAATTTCTTGGTTTAGACTAGTGAGTGCTTCCAGCACTGCATACGTTTGTTGAAACATTTCAGTTGGCAGTCTGTCAATTCCTGGAGCCTTGTTTTTCACCAATGCCTTCAGTGAAGCTTGGACTTCTTCCTTCAAGACTACTGGTTCTTGATCATATGCTACTTCTTGAAATTATTGTACATTAATGAATTTGTTTTGGTACAGTGATTTTGTGTATTCCTTTCATCTTCTTTTGATGCTTTCTGCATCATTCAATATTTTCCCCATAGAATCCTTCAATATTGCAAGTCGAAATTTCTATTTTCCCCCTTCAATTCTTTCAGTTTGAGAAATACAGAGTGTGTTCTTCCCTTTTGGTCTTCCAATTCCAGCTCTTTACACATTTCATTGTAATGCTTGATTTTGTCTTCTTGAGCTGCCCTTTGAAAATTTCTGCTCAGCTCTTTTATTTCATCATTTCTTCTAGTTGCTTTAGCTACTCAACACTCAAGAGCAAGTTTCAGGGTCTTTTCTGGCATCCTTTTTGGTCTTTTCTTCTTTCTTTCTTTCTTTCTTATCTTTTTAATGACCTTTTGCTTTCTTCATGGTTGATGTCATCCCACAATTCCTCTGCTCTTCAGTCATTAGTCTTTAGTGACTAAGTACATCTGATCTGTTCTTGAGGTGGTCTCTAAATTCAGGTAAGATATATTCAGTGCTATATTTTGGCTCTCATGAACTTGTTTTAGTTTTCTTCAGCTTCAACCTGAATTTGCATATGAGCAATTGATGTCTGTGCCACAGGCAACCCTTGGCCTTGTTTTAGCTGATCGTATTGAGTTACTCCATTGTCTCCTTCCACAGATGTAGTCAATTTGATGTCTGTGTTTTCTATCTAGTAAGGTCCATGTGTATAGTTGCTGTTGTTGCAAAAAAGTATTTTCTGTGAATAAGTCATTGGTTTTGCAAAATTCTGTCATGTAGTCTCCAGCATCATTTCTATCACCAAGACCACAGTTTCCTACAACCAATACTTCCTCTTTGCTTCCAAATTCCACATTCCAGTCACCAGTAAGTATCAATGCATCTTGATTGCATGTTTAATCAATTTCAGACTGAATAATTTGGTAGAATTCTTCAGGTTTGTCATCATTGGCTTTAATGATTGGTGTGTAAATTTTGAATAACAGTGGTATTAACTGGTCTGTTTTGTAGGCATATTATATTGCCTACAAATATATGATAGATATTATCCTATCACAGACAGCATTGTACGTCAAGATAGATCTTGAAATCGTCCTTTTAATGATGAATGTGATGCCATTCCTCTTCAATTTGTCATTCTCTGAATAGTAAACCATGTGATTGTCAGATTCAAAATGGCCAGTCCCACTAATGCCTAGGATATTGATCTTGATCTGCTTCAATTCATTTGACAACTTCTAATTTCCCTAGAGTCATACTTTGCACAGTCTATGTTCTGATTATTAGTGGATGTTCCCAGCTGTTTTTTCTCATTTTGAGTTGTGTCCCATCAGCCAATGGATGTCCTGAAAACTGTGCTCCTTCCACATCATGAAGGTCGACTGTACTTTGAGGAGGCAGCACTTCCCCAGTTGTACTTTGCTTTCTAACCTGAGGGGTACATCTTCTGGCAGACAGTGTTCTGCTGTTTTTCATAAGACTTCTAGTGGCTCTCCTTCCTGAAGTGGTCTGTCTCGCCTTCGTTTTCTGTCATAATCTGGAAGCTCTGCTGAAATCTGTCCACTAAGGATGACCTTGCTGGTAGTTAAAATGCCATTGGCATAGCTTCCGGTATCACAACAACATGCCACAGTACGTCAGACTGGCAGACAAGTGGCGGACGTCCTATTTACATGTATATTTACAAGACCAGAGACAGGTCACTGCACTCCAGTCTGACCAAAACAGGAGACCTGTGGGCACAGTTAGATGCTAGGTTTGGAACCAGCAGGCAGACGTTAAGTGCAAGGATTCCTAGTTACTCTCTAAGCAGTGGGCTGACATGATAAAATTGTCTATCAATCATAGAAACCAGGTGCCATTGAGTCAATTCTAACTTATGGTGACCCATGTATATTGGGGTAGAACTCTGCCTTACCAGGGGTTCAGTGGTTGATTGTTCTAATGTAAATCGCCAGGCCTCCAACCTTTCTATTGAACCTCCAACCTTTCTATCATTAGCTGAACACATTAACCCAAGGACTTCACCAAGATGAAAAATGTAAGAGACTGAAAGTGGTGGATGATGTTGGCAGTGAGAGATGGTAAAAGAGAGAAACACTACGATTTTAAACTGTCTCTAATTTATGTTTCATCTTCTAGAATTGTTTCAGAAATTTTCTAAGGAAGAAGAAAAAAAGTTTTTTTAACTAGGGTAAGGGAAGGACCAAAATGAGAGACAAAGAAATGTAGAAAGAGAGTGAAGAAATGACAGAAACTAACAGAGAAATGAACAAGGACAGGAGATTAGAAAGGGATGACACTTCCCTCCAAGAATCCCAGGTGACCTCCTGATTCCATCAGTAGTACTTTTGTGTGTCTTCTAGAGATGAAGCGTATCAAACATTTGGTGTCCTAGATTGGGAAACCAAGAATTACAGTCTTAAAAATACTTTAATGAGACCTTGTGGTTGGTTTTCACTAAAAAGAAAAATGGCACTAACCACAAGCAACTCTAGTGAGAAGTGAGTCAAGGCTTTCCAGATGTTGCCCAGAGACTATCCAGCTGTGGAGGCCAGAGTCGGGAGCGATGGACAGAGAGGATTCCCTTAGCATTCTGAGTCTTGACAGTGTTCCCTGGGCAGCTCCGTCTTCTTGAACTTTGGCCATACAACACAACCAATTGCCATTTTCTGTCAAACAACAAAAATCAAAACCACCATAGAAACTTTAGAACTTTGTAAGGACAAAGATTTTGTAGCACAGAAGTCAGCTCTCTACTGAAAATGAAGGGTTAAGACATTTGGTGGCATTAAGAACTCTCAGCCAAGGAGAAAGTCTTCATCTTCCAATTTCATTCTATAGCTATTCCATCTCTTATGGAAATATTCTTCTATGATGAACAGCCATCAGGGGCAGAGTGTTTTGCAACATGTCACTCTGTGTCTTGTTGTCAGCTGCCATTGAGTTGGTTCCGACTCATGGTGAGACCCCACGTACAACAAACCCCACATAATTCCTATCATTGTTGGCATATTTGAATCCATTGGACAATATTTAGCTGTGATCCGTTGAGTTTTCATTGACTAATGTTTAGAAGCAGGCTGCCATGCTTCACTTCCTAATCTGTCTTAGTCTGGGATCTCTGCTGAAACCTGCTCACCATTCAGACCTGCTGGTATTTGAAATTATGGATGGCATAGCTTCAAACCAGAAATTTGAGGTAACATATGTTTATTTTGGAGTCCTGGTTTGGTGCTGCAGGATAATGTGCTGGACCACAAAGTCAGTTTGAACCACAAGGTCGGTGGTTCAAACACACCAGCACCTCCTAGGAAACCCTATACAGGGTGGCTATGGGTCAGAACTGATTTGACAGCACTTAGCATCAACAACATGTTTGTTTTGGACAGTTGTATTTGCTGGAATGTTTACTATCAATCATTGGGGTCATTCTCTTAACGCTCTAAACAGCTTGTTACACAAAACTGAATTAGTTGCCCAACTATTTTGGAATGAAGCTACAAATGACCTCTTCACTAACTTTGTTTTAATTAATCTCACAGCTGTCTTGCTTAGAAAAATATTTAGAATTTTCCTTGATATCCTTAATATTTTTTCATGGCTTTTCTTGAAGAGTTTTTTAAAAGCTATGTAAAATAGCATTCATTGACAAGGTCTGAAATGTGTGCTTTGCTCTGCTCTCTGATGCAACTCCACAGGTTGAATGCCACCCATATTTCACCCAGTCCAAACTCTTGAAATTTTGCCGACAGCATGACATTGTCATTGTTGCATACAGCCCTCTGGGGACCTCTAGGAACCCATCCTGGTAAGTAACGGTGTGGGTGTCTCCTTGGGAAGAATTGCATTTGGCACAAAGAATGACGCTGATATGTTTTCCTGATTGGAATGACTATTAGGCTGTGTGATCTTAAGGAAATAATTTAACCTCTCTGTTCTCCAGTTATGTAAACTAGAGCTGATAATAGCCTCTTCACTGAGATGCTGTAGGAATGGTTTGCACTCTGTATGAAATTGCCTAGCAGTTCCGGAAACATCAGAAATGCTTGTCATAGAAGAAATCTTGGATTCCGTGAGGAGTGAAAAAAAAAGATTTTCTGCCAGGGAGTCAATTCCAACTCACAGCAATCCTGTAGGGCAGAGTAGAACTGCTCTATAGAGGGTGCGAGACTGTAAATCATTATAGGAGAATGGGGGAGGAGTTCATCTTACAGTCCAGGAACAGAGGACCCTAGGACCATCTGGGAGAAGAGCGCAAGCAGAATGTGGGACCCTATCCAGAGAAGCAGCGACACCAGAGATGGAGGTGGAGATGATGACATGGAGAGAGAGAGAGCAGCTGAGGACTCTAGACTCATGGAAAGAGAACAGCTGGGTGCTGATAGCCAGGAGGCAGACTTACAGAATGTGCCCTTTGATTGTTTAAATGATTATATATTCCTGAATGTTTTTGTGTACTTCCCCTGACAAAAACCAAAAACCAGAGGGAATAGAACCGAATTCTATTGAATGATGATGCATGGAAGAGATTGTAATCAATGCAGTGAAACAATGGTGTAAAGCCAATGTTCTCCCATAGAAACTATCACTCAATTCACAATAAAAGCTTAAAAAAAAAAAATCATTACAGGAGCAGACAGCCTCATCTGTCTCCCATGGTACCTCTGGTGGATTTGAACTGTTGACCTTTCTGTTAGCATCTCCCTTTCCCTCCACTAGGTCACTAGGGCTCCTGTCTAAGCAAATTGTTGTTGACAAGTGCCGTCATGTCGATTCTGACCAATAGTGACCCTGTAGAGAGTTTCTGAGGAGCAGCTGGTGAGCTTAAACTTCCAACCTTGCATTTCAAAGGGCTTTGCAGTCTGGCACATTAACCCACATGGCCACAACAGGGCTCCATCCAAGCAGATGTTGTTGTTGTTGTTGTTAAGTACTGTGGAGTCGGTTCTGACTCATAGCGACCCTGCACAGAGTTTCCCAAGGCTGCAAATCTTTATGGGAGCAGAAAGCCTCATCTTCCTCCCATGGGACAGCTGGTAGTTTTGAACTGCTGACCTTGAGGCTAGCAGCCTGATTTGTAACCATTGCATAACTAGAGCACCTTATCCAAGCAGATATTGTTGTTAAGTGCCGTGGAGTGGATTCTGACCCAGACAGAGAGATCTATATACATGGAGAACAAAGGAAAGGTTGTTATTGTTGTTGTTAAGTGCCATAGAGTCGATTCCGGCCCATAATGATCCTGTAGATGGTTTCCAAGGAACGGCTGGTGAGCTTGAACCACCAACCTTGCAGTTCAAACAGACATTGCAGTCCAGCACATTAACCCACAGTGCCACACCAGGACTCCCAAAAGAAAGGTAGAGCGTTCATTATAGAGAGTAAACATCGGCCACTTGACTTGAAGACAGTGAGCCACAGAGATGAGAGGTACCAGCAGTTCTCTTAGACACGATTGCGGCCGTGAACACATTTCCCAGGGAACAAATGGCGTCCATCCTGACCTCCTGCTTCCTGGGAATGAATGCATGGTGGTCCTAGCCCTGTGACATCAGACACAAATGGCTGCAAGCTCGAAACTTCCCCTTGAAATGCTCAGTAAATGTCTGTATCAATTGTTGGTTCAGCACCATCTCTACGGCCATATTTCCACATTCTTTGAAAGTTTTTAAACTCAGATCTCAGTGTTGACATGTGAACATTGAGGTGTGTCCCAGAGCCTGGAGTAGAAGTTTCTGTTATGTGCCACCAAGTTGGTTCTGATTCATAGTGACCCTGTATAAGGTTTCCAAGGAGGAGCTGACAGCGCCACACTAGGACTGAGTTAGTGCTGAGAGCGGTGCTCTGTTCCTTCCTCCTTCCACCCAGCTTCCTTTCTAAGCCTCGTCTGTACATCATTTACCCTGAACTGAGGCTGCTCTGCAGATTTGCCTCTTGTGACCTGTTTGTGCTGTTATTGTTCTATCGAATTGGTACCAACTCATAGCGACCCTGTATAAAGTTTCCAAGGAGCGATTGATGGGTTTGAACCACTGATTTTGTGGTTAGCAGTCCCATGCATATCCTACAGTGCCATGCCAAGACTCTTGCTCATGCTAAGAACCCACAAAAACCAAATCCAGTACTATCAAATTGATTCCTGCTCATAGCAACCCTGCATGGTGTTTCCAAGACTATAAAACTTTACCAGAAGATGATATACGACAGAATGAATGTAAAACTTAATGTTCTCCCGTGTAAACTATCACATAATTCACAATAAAACATTTAAGAAAAAAAAATTAATTACTGAAAAAAAAAAAAAACTTTACCCGAGCAGAATTTCTCATCTTCCTCCCATGAAGTGACTGGTGGGTTTGAACTGCTGACCTTGTGATTAGCAGTCTCAGCGCTCTCTTGCTAAGAGCAAATCTTTACTGAGGATTCTGGTGTGGTGCTGTAGGAAAAGCACTGGACTGCTAACCACAGGGTGAGCAGTGCAAACCCATCAGCTGCTCCTCAGAAGCTCTGAGTTGGAACCAACTCAACAGCACTGGATAAACAACCTTGCACTCAAGAAAATGGAAACAAGGAAACAAAAGTCCTCACAATGGGACCAATAACTAACATCATAATAAATGGAGAAAAGATGGAAGTTGTCAAAGGCTTCATTTTACTTGGCTCCACAATCAATGCTCCTGGAAGCAGCTGTCAAGAAACCAAACGAAGTATTGCATTAAGCAAACCTGCTGCACAAGACTTCTTCAAAGTGTTCAAGAGCAAAGCTGTCAGTTTGAGAACTAAGGTGCACCTAACCTGTTGTTGTTATGTGCCGTGGAGTCGGTTCCGACTCATAGTGATCCTGTACAGGGTTTCCGAGGCTGTAAATATTTACGGGAGCAGAAAGCCTCATCTTTCTCCTGTGGAACAGCTGGCAGTTTCAAATTGCTGACCTTGAGGTTCTCAGCCCAATT